GAAAGTAAGTATGAAAAAATAATCGTATTTGACTGACTTCATTCCATCATATACCAACTTGATCAAGTATATGAAAGATCATGAAGTTTATTAAAGAGTTATATTTCATCATTCCTCGTCGATATCTACTGAATTCGACGGTGGGGAACAAACTGGGAAACAAAACATGATAAGAGCATACAACCTCCAAATCTGTTGTAAGGCATACACATAACCCCATCCTTTGACTAGTGAGAAAGTTGTTTCCCCTCAACAATTCACACCTGGAGATAGTAAAAAGAGGCAATAAAAATGGTTTTTTAACGCTAGTAGTAAACCCTCGTATACCATTTGGAAAAATCCAGATTGGTGGTAGTTTTAGGCCCTCATCTGGATCGTGGAACAAAAAAGTTGGAGTGCAGTCAGACATGGTGCAAGAAGAAACACGTAATCGGTATGGCGTGGCTCAGATATACGGGAGTGGCCACTCTGTGAAGCCTCATCCTTTTCGTGTTAAATATATTGTTCTGTCCCCGGCTCCAGTGTGTTACTCAGAACATATTAAAAGCGTATTTCTGACTATCACGATAAGATTAGGCAGTATAGGCAGCGATAGAACTTCCAAGTAAGAGCTTATGGGTTAGGCAGTCATATCATGGCAAATCTATAACTTTGGACTAGGTCCATTATTCTTGTAGAATAGATCGGTGAACTTAGACCAAATTAGACATTACTCCTATTAAACTTAAGGCTAGAGTTGGACGGCTCCACACTTGAACTTCATCAACAAATTTAATCTCAAGAGAACTCCAGAAACATGATAGGGTTTTACACTACAAGTTGACTGTTTTGTGGTCCAAGGCAGGGATTGAAGGTTCTGGAAGTAATATTGTAAGGATCTACGAAATATTAGGTCCGCATATGTTCAGTCATACTGCAGTAGCTGTGAAAGGACTTGTGAGTGAAATTCAATAAAGAATATGAGCACATACGAATGTACTGAATCCCCAACCTTCGTTATAAACACGAACCAGAAGAGTTATTAGGTTCTCATCGGAAGCGAATTCAACAACTCATGTTGCTCTACAGTTTCACATCATCGGCAAAAGTAGGAATCCCAGAAAACAATAATTAGTCCATAACGTTTATTTGAACTGAGAAGAGCAATGGAAGCATCACTGAATTCCACGGCACCTCCCTAGAGTAGTATTCACTTTAAGGAAATGAACGGTTCACGCCGGTAAACTGTACACGATTGTGAATACGGGACCATCCAACAAAACGAAAAGGTGGATAAAGGGGAAATCAAATTTTAAAATTTAGTGTGAACTCAGGAGAAAGTAGACCAAAATGTTGACTATTACGATGGAGTTTTGTTCTCTGAGCTGGGTGGTTCAGTCGTGAAGCTTTCATCATCATTCTGAACGTCATCATCAGCACAAACGTCAGGCAACGTCGTGCAGAAGAACTATGAAAGCTACATGACTAAACCATGCAGCTCAGAGAACAAAACTCCATCAAAATCATCCACCTGAGCTACAAATCTTCTTAACCATCTTAAAATCAAATGTTGACTATTTCTTCTGTTTTAGGGAGAAAGTTTAACAGATCCCCAGTTGTCGAAAGTTGCGGGAATAATATAAAATCTCATGCCTTCAAAGCAGAAGTAGTGCTGGTTTCGTCTAAATTTAATTCGAAAAGATATTTTCACCAGCATCATACGACAAGGAAGAAAAACAGACAGGAACTCATGTAACCTTTCTCCTTTACGTCGCATTGCCACTTGTTTGGGATATGTCTGCCTAAATCTATTAACGGGTCAAGACTGAGTTTTATCTGACAGAAATATTTAGGTAGTTTGCGGCCCACAACATCGACAATATTCTTTCGATAGATGTTTGTTCATCTCTCAACACGGATTCATAAGTGGTTCAAATGGTTGTGGACGGAATAGAAGAAGCTTTCGCTTAACAGACTTCCGTGTCTAGTAGCAGGGGATCACCAAAACCTCCAGACAGGAACCTAGGTATGTTAACAATAAAAGAGGAAAGAGAAATTGGTAAATCATAGTATGATACTATCCTTAATCCTTAAGAATAGATCAAGTTGCCTCTTAAAGGACTCCTGGGAAGTCGCTTGGACTAGCTCGGCCGGCAGCGAATTCCAGCATTTGACAACTCTTAAGGGGTAGAAGTTGTGTCTATAGTCCGTCCTGCTATGTTGTGTCTCCAGTTTCTGGGTGTTACCCCTTAGGTTAGTGTTGGAACTAAGCTTAAGCAGGTGCTTAACAGGATGTCCAGAGGTGTTAAGGATACTGTAAGCCATTAGAAGGTCACCTCTAAGACGCCTATACTCTAATGGGTAAAGGTTAAGTGAATGGAGGCGCTCTTCGTAAGGTTTAAATGTGAGTCCTCGAACTGATTTCGTGGCTCGCCGTTAGATACGTTCCAGGGTGTCCTTATACTTTTGGAGTGAGAGAGGAATTACTATTTTTCTGTACTCTAAATGGGGATGGATAAACTATTGAAGATTACATGGAAAGTTCTTCCGTCAAACTGACCAAAAATGCGCTTCAATGTTACCAGTGCAAGGTTCGCTCGGAAGGCAAGTTTGTCACACTTAGTGTAAGACTTCAAATCGTAGGACATCAGGACTCCTAAATCTTTTTCGACTTGGTTTACTACTAGAGAGGAGTTACTTAAGTTATAACTGTAGTCTGCGACATGTCGCAGATGGACTACTTTACACTTTGAAGTGTTAAAGGTAAGTCCATTATCGTCTGCCCAACTTTAAAGTCTCTGTGAAGCATACATTTTTTATAGCGATTAAATGTTCGACTCAGTTCATAGCAGAACATTTGGTTCACTGAAGTTACTCATTCGCGAAAAGGTGATTGAGGATTGATCATTGCAATCTTATAAGGGTAACGTTACATTCCTCGTGACTGTTAGGTGCTTAACCTTCAAGTCCTATTTATCATAGCGACAGTGTAAATTAGGGACAAACCTAATGTTTATTATTATTTCTTAGGTATTAGAGACTGTAAAATGATTAGAAGGATCATTTACCATTCGACAGTTTGTTGTCATCAGACGAACTTGTTGTGAAGTCGTGTAGACACGATAAAAATCCACATTCTTTCAATAGGTACTATCGCTTACTCAATACTTTCATATTATTTCTCTTTTTTGAGGGGGATTGGCCAGAAAAATTAGGTTGGGTGTGTATAATTCATGCTGTTTTTCCCGTCATTCGTCATCAAATTTAGTGGCTCAGGCTTATAGGCTAAAATCTCTGGGGTTTTAAAGTGCTGGGAGTTAAATGGCGAACCCCTATATTTCCTAAAAAGATATGAAAGGTACTAGCGATTTCGATGGAGTTTTGTTCTCTGAGCTGGATGGTTTGAACGTTGAGCTTTCATCATCATTCTGAACGTCATCAGCAGCACAAACTTGAGTGAAGTGTTCGGATTTCTCCACATATAACAGCCTGCCCTGTAGACCTCGACGCTGACTGGTCATTGTTGACCTTTAACCTGTCATTGCTTACTTTATTTTGATTGTATCTCCCACTGATTTGATCCTTGGTCCTATAATTGTCCGTAATTAATTTGACTTGTTAGTAATTTGGATAGGTTTCAATGTGTTTGTTGACCACTAATTGACTTGTGTACCAAGCTTCTAAAAATTCTTTGGTCTTTTTAGAATTACTTCAATCCAAGTTCTCAACATTTTCTAGTCGAATGTGTGCCCACATTCAGTGATAAAAGCGAGGATATGTCATTGCGTTTAACCGCTAACTAATGTTCGTGCAATGGGAAACGAGGAGGGCGTCCGCTTTATCTGACGTGGTGTTTTCACAGTTAGAGCAATTTATTTTGTAGATGTTCGGTTTTTCTGTTGTCATTTTGTCCTATGGTTTGCATAGGATTAATTGAAGTGATCTTGCTGGTTTGTGTGCTGCACCTATTCCAAAAGGTTTCAATAATCTTTTAGTTTCTGACATGTCTTTTATATATGGTAGGATGTTCTGTTTGTTGGTTTCTGTAGTTGATTTTGTTTGTGCTGATGCATTTGGTTGGTACTTTTTTTATGTTGATTGGGTAGCCGTTCCTTTGGCACCCAAACGCCCTGGTATGGCCGAGAACGGGGTGGGTTCGCCCTCCCTCTCGAGATACTCTCACACGGCCGCGCGTATACAGCCTCTGCCAGGGAAGTCCTACTCACTGCCTTCTCGTGGCGGGGGTGTTGTTTTCGAAAATGAGAGGACGAAAAGCGAATGTCCGGCGCTTTAACCGGATCACAAACCAATGGTGCACATGGGCACCAGTATCCTGCGGGAACAAATGGCGTATGAACCAATTTTCGGTCACCGGCTACCATGGGACTGCATCTCCTTACTATGCTCCACTGCCTTGTGGGTTAGACCTTTAGGTCAAAGGCTCGGGGTGTGGCCCCCTAAGAAAACCACCTGCTTCGGTCTGGGCACCCGGGCAGTAACGCAGCCCACACGCAATTAATGAACTGAAATTGTGTGGCGCATATATGTTTGGCGCACTCCTGTGCCAATATATATGTGTTCAAATAAAATAAATAAAATAATAAGCCGTTCCTTTGAAAGATAACCTTCAGGTATTTGTCTCCATTTTTATGCGCTAAAAGTGTGTTGCAGTGTGTCCTCGCACTCTTGAACAAAGTTTGTACGCAGTTGGTTTTGTGAGCTCTTGGTTTGTAGCTACTGTAATTGAGGATTTGATTCATGTGGGTTATTTATTTATTTATTTAAACACATAAACATTAGTACAAGGAGGCACCAAGTAGATATGCGCCACACAAATCACTCGATTTGTGTGAGGGCTGAGATACTGCCTGGGTGCCCAAACCGAAGCAGGTGGTTTTCTTAGGGGGCCACACCCCGAGCCCTTGACCTAAAGGTTTAACCCACAAGGCAGTGGTGCATCGTGAGGAGATTCAGTCCCATGGTAGCCGGTGACCAACGATTGGTTCATACGCCATTTGTTCCCTCAGGATACTGGAGCCCATGCGCAACATTGATTTGGTTTGGGATCCGGTTAAAGCGCCGGACATCCGCTTTTCGTCCTCTCATTTTCGTAAACAACACCCGCGCCACGAGAAGTCAGTGAGTAGAACTTCCCTGGCAGAGGCTGTATACGCGTGGCCGTGTGAGAGCATTTCGAGAGGGGAGGCGGGCCTGCTGACCGATTTGACATAGCGTGCGTACGTTGAAGGCTTCAATATTTAGTTTGGAGCGAGGTTTCAGTAAACCCGGGACAGTGTTTTGAGCACTAGAATCGTTGGCCATGGTGACGCTTGAGGAGGAAGCCAAAAGAGAAAGTTTAGGGTTGAAAGTCGATGCAGGAGGAATTGAAGAGAGAAGTTTATTACGAATACAGTGGTCTTGAGTGCTGTTAGAGGTATGAGGGAGGTTATCATTTCCCGGTTGCTCACACCGTGGAAGGGTTCTTCTAGAGGTACCGGGCTTCCGATATAGTTGAGTCTTCAGTTCCCATGTGTCGGTTCTGGGGAATAATATATCCAAGAATGGTATTTTGTTGTTTGATTTCTGTTCCGTTGTGAATTTGATGTCATCAAAGACGTTGTTGACCAAATTATGGGTGTTTCCCAGCTCGTCTTTTTTGACTATGATTAATGTGTCGTCCACATAACGAATCCAAAATTTTTGGCTTGATCACTGGTAAGATCGAGGCTCCCAGTTCCTATATCCCTGCTTCGGTCTGGGTATCCGGGCAGTATCACAGCCCATACACATATCAAAAGACTTGTGGGGCGCATATCTATTTGGTACCTTCTATTACCAATGTTTATGTGTTTAAATAATAATCTCCGCACCACTGATTATGCAATAAGTCATTATATTGATGATCCCATCAGTGTTTCTTTCGTTTGTTCGTAGATTTTGTTATGAAAATATGTTATTAAGCATAAATCGATGAGTTCTAGTAAACTCTGACTTTGAAGCTTCGTGTACTTTGCGAGATTTGTGTCGTTGGTGAGAAACAGGGATAGAGTCTCCTTTGCTAAGCTTGGTTCAATTGAGGTGAACAAGGCTGTTACATAGAAGGATATCATCAGTTCGTCGTTTAGGATTTGAATGTCCTTAATCTGACTCAGGAATTGTACGGGAGATTTGATGGAGTGACTAGATGAATCCACCAAATGTCTCAATATTCATGAGATTTCTATTGGCAAATTGTATGTCGGGGATCCAGGGAGTGCTACGATCGGACGTAGTGGGATGTTTGATTTGTGTATTTTCGGCCTACCGTAGAATCGAGGGAGTACTGGTCCATTGGATTTCATTTTTTATTGATCTTGATGTAATATTTTTCCTTCTTTGATAAGCTCGTTTTAAGTCCTTGAGATTTGGTTGCCTTATCTTTTGACTGTATTTGAGTTCGTCGGTTTGTATACGCTTTTATCTCCAAGTAGTTCCCCGGATTTCCTGATATATTTCTTGTCCATAATCACTAGCGCGTTCTTTGTCCGCTGGAACTATGACAATATTTTATCTAGTCCTGAGTTTCTTTAAAACCTTTTGTTCTTGTGAAGTCAGTTGGGTGTTGTCTTTCTTCCATTGGGTTAGCGGTACTATGGTTTGTCTTATTTCTTGTTGAGTTCCTTCACTTATTCCGGCAGTTTTGAGTGATGACTCTAATGTGGCGAAGAGTTCTAGTGTTGAGGCGTCACTTGTATTTTAAACCTTTTTGGAGTATGTACTCTTATATCCTGGTGATAAACATGCGAGTTAGTCGAGTGAGACGCAAGCACGTATAGACTGGGTCTTGCTAATATAACATCGCGACTAGGTCATGCTCTGTGACCTAAAGGTGACTTTTATTTTTTGTAAACAAGTGGTATCGCTGCTCCTAAAAGTATTAAACAAAATAGTAAATTAATATATTTGTAATATCCCAATGAGTAGAAAAATTAAATTTTCTGACGTTTCGTGACTCGGTGTAAGCCACCTTTTAAGAGTATAATATTTCTACTCATTGGAATGTTACAAATATATAAATATATTTATAACAATCTACCTAATGCTCAATTTATTCGAAATTATCAAGTCAAACCCTGGTAATGATACCTAAAAAAGTAGTAAAGTGACCAACATATCTGTAGATATGTGGTAGCTAGCTGATCAAAGTGACCTACATCCAAAATTCTTTCGCACTATCTTATTTCAGTGCTTTCCTAGTTCGGCGATGTAATATGCGTATGTAATTCTAGTTTTTTTTTCTGAAGCTTTACTTGTATGATTAACTTTTTATCCAGACATTTAAATATCCATTTTCCCACACTTCAGAAGTTTCGCAGTAGTAGTAGCAGCAACAGTTTCTTACAATATATTACTAATTACCATTAAGTTACTTCGTTTCTCAAGTTTAACATCTCACTACTGTCGAAGTTTGACAGTGCGACTACCGTCAATGAAGACAGAGCATATTTTCATTCCACAATTTAATCCTGTCGTCGGAAGAATGCAGTGGAAAGATGTGGATCCAGATTATGAATTTAACCAAGAAATAGCTCGATCTGGATATGGTGATATGCTTCATGATTCCGATCGAAATCATAAGTATCGATTAGCTATCGAACACACCATTAAACGTCTTAAACAGCAGTATCCACAAAATCCTGTCCATGTGCTCGATATTGGAACTGGAACTGGTTTACTGAGTATGATGGCTGTTAATGCTGGAGCTGATTTAGTTACTGCCTGTGAATCCTTTATTCCAATGGCAACGTGCGCACTCAATATATTACGGAACAATGGGTTTAGTGACAAAATTAACATCATACCGAAACGCTCCACTGATTTAATTGTTGGAGTAGATATGCCGTGCAAAGCTAACGTGTTGGTTGCAGAATTATTTGATACCGAATTAATTGGTGAAGGTGCCTTAGAAACATACAGACACGCAGCCGAGCACTTACTGACACTCGATGCTTCTCTTATTCCATGTGCTGCTCAGGTTTATTTACAGGTGAGGTAATAGATTTTAAACTACAAACCTTAAGGCTTAATCTTGTTTGATAACGGTCGTTAACACTTGAACTAAGGATAGGGAGTGAAGTAGTCAAACGCGTTGACAACTTCACTTACCTTGGAAGTGTGACCAGCTCTAATGGGTTGGTGTCTGACGATATCTCAGCACGGATTCGAAAAGCTCGCTTGACTTTTGTCAACTTACGTCACCTATGGCGAAGACGAGATATCCGTCTATCAATTAAGGGACGAGTATACTGCGCGGCAGTTCATTCTGTTGTAGTCTACGGCTGCGAAACGTGGCCATTAAGAGTAGAAGATACTCGTAAGTTGCTAGTATTTGGCCACAGATGCCTCAGAAATATTGCTCGCATCTGCTGGGATCACTAGGTAAGTAATAGTGAGGTTAGACGCAGGGTATTAGGGAATGATGGTAAATCAGTTGATGAGGTTGTGAATCTTCATCGACTGAGATGGTTGGGCCACGTGTTTCATATGCCCGGACACTGATTACCACGATGCACAATGCTGACTAGTGTTGGGGATGGTTGGAAGGAAGTTAGGGGCGGCCAAACCAAGGCCTGTCATCAGTGCCTGAATTCACTAACTTCTGGCCTGAGCCATGTTGTTAGATGCAGACTACTTGGCTGGCGGTCTGCGCGACTATCGTAACCATTGGTTGGGGATTCTGGGTGACATGGCTTAGAATTGATCACAATGGCGTCGGTGCATAAACTCTGTCTTCCCTTAAACCGTGAGATTAAAATTACTTTATATCTTTCTTTCTACCAACCATTTCTTTATTCCTGTATTATATCCTCATATGCAATCTTTCTTTTATACATTACCTCCACTGAATTAACTGCTTTTTCATCTTACTGTGCTAATGAGGAATGGCAAGTTCGACCGATGCATATATGTGCCTGGTCCTACGTTGTAGCTGATTGACTGACTGATATCAATGAAGAGGCAAAAGGTCAGTGGATGTAGTAGTACACATTGTTTTATTAACAATAACGAAGAACTATAAGGTAAAAGGTTAAAACTGATTTACATTCAAAACATAAACCTCAAAGTAACACCATTTTAAGTAATTAGAGATAGATAAGAAATGAAATCATTTACATTGCTTTGAATAACTGTTAGCTATGATAGCGTTGTTCACATGACTGAAAACAATATATATCTTCGTGAATTGGTGCACTAGTTTCTATCGGCTTTCTTTAAGCTTCATTTATCATCTGATATCCCTTACAGTTTGTTGTTCTGGTCGCTGATGGCAGAATTTTAACCAGAGATAAGTTGCAAAACGTATAATGCGAAGTCGATGTGTTGTCAACTCTAAACTTAATGTCTTTTCAGCTCTGTCTCAATAAGTCCTAGTTCCTAACTTGTAGTCTATATTTTGTCTGAGACTCGTCTAATCTCTAGTTGGTTTAGAGTAGCTGTACCTAGAAATTTCTGTTAATGTTGTTCACGATTTTCACTTTTTGACACCTAACTGTTTTCAACTTGAATATACCCAGTAAACCATTAAGTTTATTTAGCAATATAATCCTTTTCAATCATTTCATTTTCGAAGCTATGTAGTCGTATGTAGATGATAAATTATAGGTCAGCAAACATTATGTCTTTTAGAATTTGATTAGTTATATAAAATTCGACTACATTATTTTGAATAAACAAATATATATATATATATATATATATATATAAAACTGTATCGTTACGTTAAGATGAAAGTGATTTATAAATAGTAATCAAGCAATTGGGGTCAAAACAACCTTTATAGTAATAAACTAGAATCATGTATATAAATGGGGGAGTGAAGAGTGTAAAAAACGAAACAATTAAATGGACAAGACCACAAGCAGAACCTATGATGAGAGATCTAATCAATTGTTTTTGTGCCCACAAATCAGGTTTTAACATATAAATGGTCAAAGATTCTGCAATATAAGGTATGGATAACCGAGTAGTATCATTAGCCTTTGTGCAATTTGAGTGTGGCTCATGCCTAGTACCCAGTAAATGAGTTAATTTAGTGTTGAAAGATCTGACCGGTTTTAGGTCACAGTTCTTTTGAGCTTCAGATAGTCTTTAACTGTAGGGACGTTGCTCTGCTTTGCCAGCTTGTACCTTAACTACTTCTATGGATCCGGTGTTCATCTTGTTGTGCTTACGAGGTATGGCAACTTGGACTGATGCACATATGTGCTTGGTCCTATGTTGTAGCTGACTGACTTAACTTCTTCAGGTACTCCTTGTTTGTCAGTGGTTTTGTTCAGGGATGTAAAGGCTTCTACTTCTTTCAGGGCCTCACCACCAAGTATAATTTAGCTGGTTTTTGCTGTGCTATACTTCAGGATTTTTTGAATAACTCCCGGTCTCCTACACTGTCCAGACATTCCATGTACCCATACTAATTAGTGACCTAGTTCTTAGTAGTATTGACCTCGTATCTTTTGACGGATCTTGGCTCTTACCATGAACTGTCACAACCCTTCCATATGAAGACCTTTCAACTTACAGGCTAGAGTTTAGATGGTTTGAGTGGTTTTATTTGGTTAGCGTTTCTCAATGAGGTTAATTTTTACGAGTTGTGGTTACTGACCCTACACCCCCGTTTACACGGGCTTGATTCCAAAAGTAGCCTCGGAGAGCTCCAGGATGAGTTCCGCGTCTACTACATGTTGCTTAATGGACTTAAACCTTTCCTAAGCCACATCAGTTGGTCTATGTCAGTAAGCAAAATTGATACTTCATTGGGCTGACATTTCTATCCTTTTTGCCAAAAGTTCAGTCATAACACAGCGTTTCCCCACAAAATGCCTTTTAAATACTGCGACTTAGGGTAGGGAAGTGTTTGTGATAAATAAACAAATACCAAAACAAATGACTCAGTATTTCAAGAAATTACCCCGGAAAAACAAGGCTATACTAAAAATACAAATGGAAATAGTTCATATATTTTTTCGTATTGTTTCTAATAAATGAAAAAAATTAACATTGTTTGATTATTGAACTAAGGGATCTGTTGAACTTCCTCAGCTTTGTTAGGTTTCACAACTTCAGTGTAGATCATGGTGTTGTATGTGATACGGATATCTAGATTTATGGATACCTTATTTATTTATTTGAACTCATAAATATTTGTACAGGAGGGCACCAAATATATATACGCCATACAAAACAATGGGAATTCGAAGAGGAGAAGGAAAAAAGGTGAGGAGCGTAAAAAAAGAACAATAACGAACAGAATAAGGTAAGGTAGCGTAATAATAATTGGGGAAACGAAAAGGTACAACCAAAAGAAATCTTTCAGTTAAGGAAGAAGCAACCACTTTTTATGAAGAAAGTAAAGGGTTACAGCAGGATCGCCACTGGCTTCTATTATGAGCCATATCTGATAACGTCTCTAGCCAGTGTTGCACCATCTCTCGGACCCCAACCAGGGAGTCGTGAAGGACCAACACAAGCCAGCCCTTTGCAGATTTCATTCGTACCCCGACACCATGTCATACACTGATCACCTCTCCGCTTTCTCAAACCAGTCCCAGCGTCTGCAAATAATGCACGACGTGGAATTGTCTGAGACGATATTCGTAGAACATGTCCAAGCCACCGAAGTCGGTGTTTCAGGATGGTGACACCAATTGCATTATCATCTCTGTGCCCGAACACACGATGCCGAACCCCTGCATTACTAACATGGTGTTGACACTGAATGTCAGCAATCCTTCGGAGACAACGAAGATCGAACACAGAGAGTAGTCTAACATCCTCAACTCGGAGAGACCAGGTTTCACAAGGATAGAGCAAAACTGCTCTCACCGACGCGTTGTATATTCGACGTTTTACAGCCAGACTAACATCACGAAGGCGCCAAAGATGGCCCAGGTTGGCCTAAGCCGCTCTGGCTTTCACTATACGTGCATCGGTCTCATCACTCACGCCACCAGCAGTATTTATGCAGCTACCTCGATACACGAACTTCTCGACTACTTTTATCTGCTCACCATCCAGAGTGGGTACAGGATTAGAGGCAGGTACTGCTCTTAGAAGATAAAATCTAATATTGTGCATTGTCCCCTACACATATCATATTTACTACCGAATATAAGTGAAAGCACAGTTTACTAGCAATTTCAGATGATCCGTTGGACATTCTACCTACGTACAACGTTTGTCTATCAGGTTCGATTTGTTCCCTCACAGAGTCGTTATCTCGACATTAAGAGTCAGAAAGTAAATCTTGGGATAACTGATCTAAACCACTGTTATTCGCTTCCTTATAAGTTTCCCCTGAATTGTCCCTGATAACATGGTGAAAAAGGGGAATCGAAGTCACTCAATGTCAGTGGAATATTATAGATTGGATTAAAGCATGTTCCGTGCAGGATTATGTTGGGGGCACGCTGATTGGCTAAGAAATAGCCAATCAGCGCTGGTGGATGCTCGTAGGAGGCTCTAGAACCTTCTCGTGTAAAAACTATGAATATACTAACGTTTTCCTTATTTTAATTGTTACTTCCATCTGCCCTTGTTATTTGGGATATAATTTGGTTCCTATCCAACTATGTTCTAATTTGGGGACTTGTCGAGTGAATTGGTGTCCAAGAATACTGAGCGATAGGACTAGCTGGGTCATTATAAGAGGAATTGTAACACTTAGCTTAATCTAATTCCAATCCTAGCTTAGCGTTGGAGTTATGCAATCTCATTTACAACTTATGAAAAGCAAATTAATATCGACCAGGTTGACATTTTGTTACGGTAAATTATTCAGTGTAAGCACTACTCATAGAATTTCAATACAATTTTACAATGTTTTGTGTTAATGACAAATACTCAGTTTAGGCATTCTAATCCTTTTTCATTGACGTACAATCGACAAATTCAGTGTATTTGGATTGGTTATACTGGGTTAACATCAAGAACTTCATCTAGTAAACAGGTGTTTTCACTCTAGTTAGTGGGTCAAGAAAAGAAGAGGATGGAATTAGTTTTATCTATGGTCTTGAAAACATTGTAGTGAAGTATTAGCACAGCACAAAAACGGATCTCTTAAAATATTGGGAACCTCTGTAGGGTATTTATTCCGTACATTTCGTGTTAGTAATATACATCTTAGGAACCCTTTTTCCTAACATCGAGTTATATAGCAAAGTTGTATCACAATGGCCAAACGTAATGTTAGAGTTGCGAACACAACCACTTGAGGCGTAATACATCTACTTCCGTTCAGCTACATGCTTAAAAGTAAAGATTAAGTGAAGATTCAGTATAACTTTGCCACCAACAATATATGACCAGTTTAAGGCAATAAATAGAGCATTTATTAGTATTTACATATTGAAGTCTTTGATTACAGGTACTTGTAACTCAGTCCACTTAATTATCGATTTGCTTCGATATTTTAACTAAAACTACCCATTGTTCAGTTAAAATATAAATACTAAATACACTAAGTTTAAGCGTTACTTACAGTTTTAGAATAGCTAGGTTATATCTCATATCTAAAAATTATAGTGAAAAACAACAGTTTAGCAAGCCAAAATATTTCACATAGATTGAAATCTTCAGTACTGTCTAGCCACTAATTACCCCCCCCCCCAAAAAAAAAAGAATATGAAGAAAACTTGAAATATACAATGAATACATGGATTGAAAATACTGAATTTTATGTGTACCACCACTACGTTCACTTCTTTATCTGTGAAATATATTGATCAAGCGAATGCATCTATCTCATTTTTACCAAAAAAACACAAATTGATGTAGTGGGAGTATCTGTTTTTATTTTAGAGATACCTTACCATCTAAAAACACCTCAGTCTGTAGTTAATAGTATTTCTCCTTTTTTCCCTTTAAGACCAGTTTGTCTAAACTCTGTTTTTACAACTATAGTTCATGGGTTAATTTCTAGGATTTACATCGACGTACAAAATATCAAGTTTTCGGATTGTTGTTTATTATTTAGGTTGTTGAATCTCAATTTCTTTGGTCTCACCATCGCTTATTTCCATTTCAATATAAAATTGGTGATACGACTATAGATATAAAAGAGTTTCAGCATGCAGAAATCGAATCATGCTCAGGACTTCCATCAACATTTGATATTCAAGTATCGGAGATTCAATTAGAAGATAGTCAATTAATTTCATGTGATAGGCAGTTACGCTGTCTTTTGAAGAGTCCTCGATTGGTTAAACGATTTAACTTTGGACCGCCTGCAGATCTTATTAAATTAAACGATGTGTTAGATTTAGAATGTAAGTTTCTACTCACTTTTAGTAAGCATATTGCTACATTATTGGGTATGATGAGATTAGTGATTACTTATTTTTCTCTTGGAAAATCAAAACAAATAAAGTTACTAGATGCTGTGTTATGATGTAATCAACTATTTAAGATGGTTTGCAAAATTAGTCCCTCCATAATTACGCTAAAGTAATACGGTGTCAAGCAACCACCTGTTTGGCCATGAATCCAAAAGGTAAGGTAATGAGTTAGGTTCTAAAACCTTGTGGTCTATTGTTACCATTACTATAGGTCTTTAAATAACTGGGAGAACTCCGGAATCAGTGCCTGTAAAACGATTATGAGTAATTAGCGTCATAAATATTTTCTTAATGTTTCATCCAACATAAATACTTAAAATACTGTGGTAGGACTCAACTTTCTGTGATCTATAAAGTTAAGAAGCATCAGTCATCACTTCCGTCAATGGATGAACCTGCGCCATTGCAAACGATTTTGAGCCATGTCATTCGAGATGGCTAGAGACGTTGAGTGACTTGGCTCGAAATCGTTTGCAATGGTGCAGGTAGATCCACTTGTTGTGTTCTCCCAAATTCTAATCATCTGAATTCTTCGTGTCTCTTTTTTCCCTCTTTCCAAATTTATTTCACTGGATTATACTCTTTAAATAACATCTTCAAACCCTAATCTTTCCGATTACTGCTTACACTCTTACTACCCCTACCGCATTGGGATTTGAATTGACAATTGTATCTCGTTGCTGACTGACTGACTCCGTCAGTACAGGATTTGTTATGATAATTAGTCATTTCATCAGTCAACTCTCACAGTTTTATGCTATCCTTTCTTTACTTGTCTAACTACTGACATCTACGAAACGCCCATACCAGTTTCTTAAACTCACTGTAAATCGTACTTACACATTTAAACATCAGTATCCTATATCCAGTAGAACATAAAGTCAAAATAATCATTTGTAAAGAGGCATTATACAATATATTATTATTATTATTATTATTATTATTATTTACATGGCGTAAGTAACTTTGTGGTATCCCCGAATTCTGTGATCATTTTCTGTGGTCTTGTAAGTTTTGAATTGCATTACACTGATGGATTATGTTTCAGATAAACTATACGTTTTCATTACGGTATTTCAGTGAACTAAGCGTTTCAAATCACTACTATTGCTCATCAAATGCTTTACAGCTATTTTCTGTCTTTAAAATAATCATTTTTAGGTACTACTTTTGAGTCTGGTACAGCGCATGCATTTATTGTGTGGTGGTCTTTACAAATGGAGCCTACAAACTCAGTTCCACCAATCAGTGTTGCGCCCACTTGGGCAGGAGATCCTAATTCTGCTTGGCGAGATCATTGGATGCAAGCGGTGTATTTTCCCAAGATTGCTCACTATTTAATCAAAAATGAGTCGTTTATGGTCAGATATCTTCATGATTCATTGTCCATGCGATTCGACATACTTCCTGTACCTAATTTTAATGCTAAACCTGATACTTCTTCACTTGATGTCCGAAATGAAATGTCCTGCTTATCATGCTCATGTGATCTTCATCGTGTATGGCCCCGAACGCGCATTTCTGAGTTGAATTCGTCGGATTACAAAACATTTTCCACTAAAATCATTAATTCACTTATTACGGTATCACAAAAATACCCAACTTCATTATTTAATGTATTAGTGGTATCAGATTGTACATATTTACCTTTTTTACTCGGAAAAAGTTTAGCAAAACATGCAAAGCAGTTTCAATTAGTCCACTTGGATACATCACCATCATCGTGTTTACTTTTAGATCGTATTTATAAGTCGTTTTCATCGTCCTGGGCGATTATAGAGAGTTGCCAATCGATTGAGGAAGTTTTCTCAAGAATGACTCCTAACATGTTCACAAAAACTAATCCGACTGAATCAACTTTAATTTTGATCAGTGAACCGTACATAAGTTCATCAATACTTCCTTGGGATTCTTTATACTTTTGGTATGCCTTTCAGAACTTGCTTTCACATAACCCAGCTTATTCATCTTTGTATTTATTTAGCCCTGTTAGACTGCGCATCTATGCTATTTTGGTTGACTTCAAAAATCTTTGGCGCATTCGTTCGCCAGTTGGATTCACTTGTGAATCTTTTGATTTACGCCCATTCGATGATTTAGTTTTAGATGCATCGGCTAAAAGTGATGAGTTAATTGAACCACATCCTCTGTGGGAATATCCTAATACGGCTAGATCCGATGCTTGTGTCATTTTTGATATGGTTCTACCAAACAGTTCCGATTTAGGTTCAGATTTCCAGTATGCTGATTCTAAAAAGTTAATTCATTGCAAACAAAACACTTTAACTACATCATCCTCATCTGTTAATGGTATAGCATTGTGGTGTGAATGGCTCTATAATACCCCTGCTACACACCATTCCAACGAAACTTGGTGGTATGCACCAGCTGGTCCCAACAAAATTACAACTTTAAATGAGCCTATTTCTTGGAAATCTCGTGGAACACAACAGGGTGTTTTTCTTTTTCCGTCGGAATGGAAGGCAAAAATTTCATCGAATGATTTACTACGAATTTCTGCATGTATGGATTTTGATATTTCGACAGGAGTTTTGTCCCCGTCATTTAAAATAATATAAAGACTCCTTACCTTTTTTTCTTATCATGTCATATTTTGCTATTTTTCGGTTAAAATCAAACAATTTTTATACAAATAAGAAGTCTTCCTTAGATCTTATCTTACTCTTATAAGATGGCCGAAAATTTTGCTGTAAATATTCAAAATCATGAATAACTATCTAGTCAGTGACCTATTGTTTCTTCTGATTCACAGTCGATCATATCAAAATTGACACCAAATCTTGTTTATTTTACTTCCCTCTTGCATATAAATCGACATCTCATTGACCTTATTAGTAATTTCCTACCCACTTGTTCTATTTTGCTTTATTCATTTAGCGAGGCTTCGTGATCGGTTGCTACTCAATCTCAACAAATCTTAATGTGCAGATTCATTAAACAGTTCACAGTACTCACGTAGACGTAATCAGCATAAGATTTAGCACAAATGTTAGTTGTTACGAATTGCCGTCCAAAAAGAGAGAGAAAATCACCGACAGTAATCCTAAAATGTAAGGAGAAATAAGCGAATAAAAACTGTTATTGAGGAGGTTTTTGCTGAGAGGAAATTCTCATTTGCTAATATCAATGTGTAAAATGGTAATTGGTAGGTGAATGCAACAATACGGTATGGCTTATTGTTAGCTACTTAAGAGAGCGTATTATTTGACCGAATTCCCCGAACGATTAGAAATCATAGACAAGAACATCAACTACGTGGATACATTTTTCTGTGTAGCGAAGTAACTTGTCTGTACATAGGATATGAACAGAAAATAAACATAATCAATCATAGGTGATTAACGTAAATAAGCTTGTAAGTAATTCATTCTCCAAATAATCAAGAACTGACTGTTAGGTCTAGTCTTCAGGCATCATATCAATTATCTGGTGCAGTGTTAAAATTAGAGGAAGATGAATAATTTTAATGCTAGTTTTGCATCATCATCGACTACAATCCTTAGTGTAACTTAATCAGCTGTTTGACTTCTAAAAGTGTTATTATGTTTACAGTAAATTAAGTTGAAAAATATTCTGGATTTCTGTAAACTTTCTTAAGAGATTTAACTTAATTGTGAAGAGTCGCTACCTTCATACAACCAGATTGCCTGATAAATTTAAACAGAACAAGAACAACTAGGTTTGCTTTATAAAATAAATTGATTCTATCACGGTTTCTCATCAGCTATATACAACCTAAAATCACGATTATTAATATGATTATTAACATACTTAAGTTTGTGAAGTTTAAATAAATGTTGCTACCTTAATTGCAGTATATCTAGTTACTTATTTAAGCCACTAACATGATTCATTTCTCTGCCTTCCCAGTATTTAAGGCAATAAGTTAAGTGATCGAAACATTACTAGATCAAAAAGAACTGTTGGGAGTTTCTTAATAATGTTCACTCGCTATTGAAAAATACTCATCTATCTATCCCTATCTGGAAACTGCTTTCGTTGATAATTATTCAACCTGAATCGTTAGATCACAGTATAAATCCTATACCTATATAACTTCATTAGATTTTTTAAGTGTCGGATAACCTCATTATAAGGAGAGATGGGTGGTAACTAACAGTAGGACGCAGGATGTGCGTTTCATCCTATTTGGGACTCCACCTGGGTTTACCTCCGTCTCAGATTTGATGTTCACTACGGGACAAGAATTTAGTACTATTCGCTCCAAACACCGTCATGTTATTCACTTAGATACTGAGTCCAGATAGATTCTGGCTTGCGCAATAGAGTGAAGTCGAATTCATTTGTATTGGTCGTTCGAATCTTTCAATTGATGTTTAGGACTGCGACTTATCAGTCTTATTGGCATATGTCCATCCTGTGCGGAATGCATAGATATTGCTATTAAGTCAAGTTTTATAAGCAGAGATGGATTATGGCTAGCAACGGAATCCAGAACGTGTATTTCATCCTATTTGAAACTTGTTAGCTGGACGTACTTGCGTCAGTTGGAAGATTCAAACATCTAATACTAATGAAGGGGTAATTTTCGTTCTCAAAACAGAATGCAGCACACCCATCAAATGAATGTCCAAAAGCTCTGGGTACTACAATTATAGGGTAGGATTATGTGGTTCAGTAAAATAACTTTCCGATTGTTAAAGTTAGAGAATGCCGATCGATCGGAGATATACAATGGTAGGATTTGGGTGAGTTGATAGCTGCTCACGAGACTGAATTTTCGACTTAAGCCCCTGAATGATATGAAGTTAAAGGCACGATCGTCGGTCAGAAAAATAGTCTTTTATCTAGTAAAATAACTTTTATATACAAATATCAACACAAAATGTCATGGTGAAATGTCATAACCTATAGCAGAAAGTCAGTTTGTAGGTCACTCACTATCACATTAATCAGGACCTGAATGTTCGGTTTAATTTCTGCGCTAACACATTTATTAACCGTCGAAAACGCTGCGCATAAAGTCAGCTATCCTAAATATCAACAGTAGGGTAAACTAAATCCTGACAAAAATGGTCATTGTTATACATCGACCAATGTAGAGTGCTAAGAAGTGATAATTCTAAAAATTGGCATAGTTAAAAATATCAGAGTTGGTTACCAAGGTACCGTTAATCGAATATGTGAACTAAATGAGCATATGTGATACAAGAGAGTTCAATAAAAGATATTCGGAAAGATTAACTCACGTAACGTACTCTTCAGGCTTGAAAGGTTTCCTTGATTTGATTGTAATCAATAAATTTATTTTGAAATTTATGTCATCTGTTAACCACGAAGGTTTATTATGTTGCAAAAACAGGATATTTAAAGTGGATTTGTGACGGTTAGTTATTAATTATTTAAACATAAACATTGGTACAAAGAGGTACCAAATATATATGCGTCACATAAACCATTTGATTTGTGTGAGGGCTGGGATCTTACCCCGGCGCCCAAACCGAATCAGGTGGTTTTCTTATGGGACCACTCCCAGAGCCTTTGACCTAGAGGTCTAATCCACAAGGTAGTGGAGCAACGTTAGGAGATGCACGAGCACTAAAATGATTAAACAATTCTCATAAATCAAAGTCTTAAACAGATAAAATTTTACCTGGTTGGCTAACAGCCTGAGATTAAATTAATTCTAATAGGACCAAACGAAATCTCTTGAATATGGTTAGATTAGAGATTCATTATAGATACACAGTAAATATGCATTCTAGTCTAATAATTTATCATAAATGTTTATTATCCTAGAATTTACTGATTCATTTCAATAAATTAACGAGGTAGAAATTGTTTCCAATGCCTAGTATTACCGTTTTGTTAGACAAATCTACATAGCAACTCTTAAAACTATTTCATACAGTCCTGATTTTCTAGTCGGTAAGCATTTGATTTGATAGGTCTTTTTTCTACGTACAATCTAGTTGTTTGAACTCAAGTTATGGTTTGTTAATTTGATACTTAAGTTGATACTACCATACTGTTTATATCAAATAAAATATTTAGCCAGTGTTGTGTATGTGCTATAAGCAAAGATGGATGGTGGCTAGCAGTGGAATCCAGGACGTGAGTTTCGCCCTATTTGGGACTCGTCAGCCGGACGTATCTACACCTCAGAGTTGATGTTCACTCAGGGACTGGAACTCAGGACCGTCCACTTCAAACGCCACCACATTATTCACTTAGCTACTCAGTCCTGATAGCCACTTGTTTGTGCAATGGGGTGAAGTTTGAATTCACTTAGTATTGTTTGTTTGAATCTTCCCTTTGATGTTTAGGGGTGAGATTGATCAGTCTCCTATTGGCATATGTACATACTGTGAGGAGTGCCTCGATATAGCTTTAATTCACAAGCATTATATGCAAGCTAAGTGGATAACGCGATGGCGTTTGAAGCGAACTGTACTGGGTTCGAGCCCCAAAGTGAACATCAACTCTGAGGTACAAGTACATCCAGCTGACAAGTCTCAAATAGAACAAAACGTGCCTCTTCGATTCCACTGTTAGCCATTATCCATCTTTGTTTATAATTCTTGTGACTTAAGGCAATATCAAGGCAATCCGCACAATATGCCAAAAAGAGACTGATCAATCTCAGTCCTTAACATCAATGTGAAGATTCAAGCAAACAATACAAAGTGAACAATGGGAAGATTCAAATAAGCAAACAATACAGGATGAGTTGTATATGTACGCTTTTCATGAGGAAACTTAAGGCCATAACAATATGGAATAACTTAATAGGTCGTTTTTTAATCCCTATTTTTCTACGTTTGTGACTACATTTTAAATGTTATCGGTTTCTCAATTTTCAGAGTTAAATATAAAAGTAACACAGTATCCTGAACAATCGCATTATTGTGTACAGTTACTAATTAGTTACAAGAGATTAATAATAATGATATATTTATTTAATCTAATAAATATAACTTTATGCATCAAAATTTCTTTACGACTTATAAAGTATTAAACAATTAGTTGATCCGAAAAATGGTTAAACAATAAAGATAATTACATTTAGGTACTCAATGTCTCACTGATTTACATGACTAATAGTACAATGGGAGATATACTATGCATGTGTGTAAAAATTGTTGTTAAAAATCTTGAAAATATAATAAAGAAACTTTTGTCATTTGAAGTTCTACATTAAATTAAAAACGGTGAAGAAAATAGTTCTCTTACGTTAACGACTGGACAAATAAGTCTTTGTGTAAGAAAATTATTTGGAAACATTCAGTAAATGATTCTGTCACAATGTATATTCTCTTTCTATTATTTTAAGCCCTAACTGATTTGCAAATGATATGTTAATTATCTGTGGAGGAAAATAATGAATTTTTGCATATCACTATGTTTGTCCCTTTGCCATATTTCTAATTAGTACAACATATATTGATAATAATATTGATGTATAGTACAGCTATTTTGAGCTACCGTTATGACAGAATCATGTTAGATGGAAATACTGATAAGATTCAAAATCGTCCTGATGAAAATTGAAATTTCAATTAAGTTTTCACGACAATCATGTTCAAAGTAATTTTCTGTCACTAGTTTCATCATATGTTATTTATATGGTTGAGTATATTCATCACTTCGCTCGGATGATAAGTAGCCTAAGTTTAAATAACTAATTTCTAAATGGGTCTCTACAATAATACATAAATGTTCGGTGCCTAGTTGAGTGGATACAATATCCATTACAATTTGCAGAATATTCCAATAATCTCTTGACTCTGAACTATGGCAGTACTTGTTCAAATGACACTCAATCTCTATCAGTTTGAGCTGCCAGATGGTATCACTAGACTTCAAATATAAACGAGCTACAACTGAACGCGACTATAACTTTTTTAGCTAGTGACCAGGATACTAATGGTTTGAGATTTCGATCACTGGTATCTACAACACATTTTTCGATTCATGAGAACATGGAGTTTGTGATTATAACGTGACTTACATGTTTTACTTTAAAATATATAAGTTACGCGTGTAAAATTAAATGATTAACAATGGATTTTAGTGTGAATGAAGTGAGATGGTTAAAATCCTTAATTAAAAATAATGAAAGGTATCGTAGGAATTATATTAAGTGAAGCGATGTCAGAAACAATCACGAATACAATCAAGTGAATATAGGTAATGATTTAAGAGACAGGAACATTTTCAAATGCGCAATCAATGAAATTAAATGATAATAATAGTTCAAGTTCACAATACAGACAATGATGAAATTTACTTATCTTGTAGTCAAAATTCACGCTTTATTTCATGGATAGCACACTAGAGCAGGTGAACTAGTAGATGCACAGGGAGGTGACCAGATGAAGGAGATTATTTTTAGCGGATACGGAAGTTAAATAAACATTGATTGTTGTTTACATTATGTATTCTAGTCTTCCCACAGCATCATCGTTTTTATTAACTATTGATATTACTTCATTGAATTAATACTTAAGATCTCTTATATACACTAACACTAAAAGATGTGACTTAGAGTCTATTTTACTATTTTATTTACATTCACTTCTTACTTTATCTTACTCTGGTCCTAATGATCCATCTTTCTTTTAGGTTTTCTTCTCAGTTTCCCCTACCTATCGTATTGTGGCTGAATATATTAAGTAGTAAGTTGGCTACTAAATTAAAATGGACAGATGTAATCGCTAATCATAACTAATAATTGAATTCAGACTGTACCTCTAGTGACAATTTGACCAGGACTCCAACGATTATAAAGAATAAGAAAATGTAGTAGTTTTGTTGTAACTCTAGCTAAAAGAATACGATGGAGAATCCAGGTGGGGTGGCCTATGCTCCTCCACGAGGGGTAACAGGAGTAAGTCAATAACTAAGTAAGCTAACAACGATAAAGTGAAAAGTGCGCGAATATTTGTAACGACCTTTGGAGTTTTAACTTAAAGAGTGAATTTTAAAAATTTAAATTAATTATTCTGAATAGTTTATTTTACTAAGTGATTATAATTAAATTTTTAAAACGTAATAAAATTCCTATCAAGAATGATCTTTCATGTTAAATGATTAGGTAGCATGATTCTATGAAACGGGTTTAACCTTCATATTGTAGTGAACGCGAACAAACGTGGGGACAATCGAATATGTTTGAACACAAAATTACAGAATCTCTTAGTAAAATCTGAGAACCATACAGTAAGTACTTCACCTGCAAAATGTCAATCAATTATCTCAGATTTGACTGATTCTTCTTTTCCACATCAACCACTCTCTGTTGTCATTCTCTTTTCTTCGATCACCTTAACCATCTGCTATCGGGCATTTCATCTTCGATTTATGATATATACTACTTATATCTGTCGACATCAGTAGCACACACGACAACATCAAAGAAGCAGGGTAATTGACACATGTTAAAAGTAGATATAAGGACGTGGAGGAAATGAATAAATGAATTGTAATATAAATCTTTTTTTTTTAATCTAAAGATTAATTTAATTCAAATATATATTCGTTAAGTTGTAAAACAGTTTATTCATCGAAAGATTCCTTTTCGACAAATTTATTTTCAATACTGTATGATTGTACAGATTAAATTATCGGCCAATGATTTATTTCTACTTTCAGATAAATTATATCTGAGCTTGCTATAGTTTGAATTAGTAGAAGAGGTGAGCACTTGTAGTGTATGCTATTTATATTTTTTAAGTGTAAGCAGTATGTAACATCAGTCAGATGTGAAATACTTGTCAAAAGAAGATTACAATGATTGAAATGAAAAGTACAGAAAGAAATTGAGAATTGGAAAAAAAACCATGAAGGATGTAAAGAATAACTGATGGAAAATATGCAAATAAAGTATTTAATGTATAGTTTTTATAATTTATGAAGACATTCTGTAATTTAGTACTAAACAATAAATTGATTAATTTCACCAACTCTCCATTCACTATACAATGATAATAGATAGATAGACTAAAGACTGAAACAAAACATCTATTCAATAATTCTTGGTTTCTAACAATTCTTTAGCTAATATTAAACTATAAAAAGATCAATTTTAGATTTCATTTCTAGTTATCTTAAATGATTTATATATAATGTTAATGATTCAGTTAAAATTGATAATCTTTTTAAGATTATTGTCACTATTATCTTGTTACCTAGTAGATTTTTTTGCTCTAAATTTTAGTGATAATATGATTTTTATTGATTTATAGAAAAAAAGTTCCTCATTGGTGAATTGTTTTTCATTTTTTGTGACAAATAGAATATTGAAAATTTTTCTTCAACTTAATTCTATGATCTTATCATAGTATTAACTAACCTGATAAGATTTTTGGCTACTTCTATATTTGCAACTATCGGTTTTATTTTTAAAATAAAACATCTTATCATATGAGTAGTATTTTGTATAATTTATTTATAAAAGCTTCTTTAATTTTAACATCTGTTTCTATCCAATCAGAATTTAGATTTCTCGAATCTCTATGACCTTTAATACCCTGGTAACCAGTTAAACGAAACAGTACAAATATCAAAGTTAATCAATTATTTGTTTATTTATTTAATCTGTTTCAATTTTGAATTAAATTAACATTTTTCAATTAAAAAAGAACAAATAAACATTAATTATGACAAATGTATCATTAAGACTTTATATTGAAACTGATGATACTGAGTATCCAGGATTGAAGAGATTAAAATTACAAGGAAAAGATTTAGAAAATGTACCAGCTGAATTGTTCATGTTAAGAGAATTACAAGTATTAGATATGAGTCCAGAAAGACAACCATCATTAACTTATAAATTGTTAGAACTTCCGTCAGATATTGGTAAGTGACTAAAAATATAAAAAATCAAGATGTATCCTGTTTTAATGGATAGTTTTTCCGGAAATTTTATTGTGTACTTTTTCATAGTCATTTATGTGTATATATTTGTACTACTAAAGCATTCTCCATATTTAAACTGATACATGATCAGTTAGATGTGCTCGTTCTGAAATCTTCGTAATATTTAGAAGTAAATTAATTACATTTCCATGCGAAATAGCCATGTATTTCAGCTTAGAAGATTCGAACCCATTCCATACAGCGTCTCAGTTATGACTGTATCCAATGAGTCACTTGGATTTTAACTCATTTTTTGAGAAATGGATTGTTTTCAACACTGTTTTTATGGACTCGAGTATATTTAAATAATCACTGAGTTAAGTTTCGAAGTTTCACATTGTCCACTTTTGATTATACCATATTAAATAAAAAGAATACCTCAGTATTGAAGTACTTAGCTTATAAGCTTAATCGCTAAAAGTTAGTCAGCACCAACGATCAGGAAGCGATTGATTTCTGGGCTTGAAAATATTACGGTAGCATTTTGGTAATTACCCTGTCTTCTGGGTATATGATATATTTTATTATAATGACTCAGTTTTTGTTATCTTGTTAATTAACCTCATTTGTGGGACTCCTCAGCAATGTCCGTTCACCCCGCATTAGGGACTGGACCTGGGACGTTTGGTTTCGCATGAGAGAACATAAACCTCGGACCACTGACTGGAATTCAATGGTATACATGCTTAAATTCAACCAATCGGCGATATTGCGCGATCATCTAGTGATTTTTAGTTTTAATTAGTTATTTAATTAAGAGCAGTCCGTTATATAATTTACGAAAGTCTAAAATCTTCTCTAAACCCCATATTATTGATAATTTCTGACAGCGGACTTAAGCATTAGGAAATGTAAAACTCTCAGGAGATATTGGCTATCATTTTTGGTATATTATGCTGTGAAAATAGTTTTCATCATAAACGGCCTATTTACCAACCAATGATTAATGCTTACAACAAATATCAGAAGTATATTTATCCATTTTTTGAATGGTTACTAGTTCTGATCAAACTGAGATCATGAACTAGTGCTTCCAGATTTTCAATGGTAGGCTAACACTGATCGGTTCATAATCTCAATTGAAACTTTGATCAAATTACCCATCACAACAAAAAACAAAAAGCCATCAACCTATTCGACCATAAATGTAACTTTCAAATCACTACAATAACTTCTAATTCGTGTTATTCTTCATTTTGTTCATAATTATGTTGTTCTCCGTAGTATAGCAGGATTTAAAACACTGAAATCATAAATAATTCTTCTGATAGATTAATGCCCAACTTACAAGAGAATTGAATTAACTGATAACTAGGTTGTGATGTGGTGTTCCAGCCATTTAAGGTTGATAGATCCTTATCTGATGAAGCCGGTGTCCTTTTACTGGATTTTAATTCTGTGTTTTAAGGGTTCACAAACCCACCACGTGGATATGATTGCAGGAAGAAATTGGTACCTCCAGGGCTACTAGAGTCTGTATGCATACCGGTCACACAAGTTCTCACCCCTGCAGCCCATAGTATACATGTAAATATATTCACTCACCTGAAAGATAGATGGGCACCGCTATTTTCGAACGTATTTTATACTGACTGGTTCTTAAGCATTACATGCTTATCACTGGTACAAAGACTTTCGTACATACACTTTGCGATATTTACATATCCATAAGCACTCTCTCATGAAGGGTTGGTGGTCACCTCCCCTTGATGTTTACTACTATATCTTTCTATTATCTCCTTAACCTGAAGGATAAGGGCGCTGGTTTTATTAGACATGATGCAAACATTTTTAAGCTTACATTTGTTGTACTAACTCAGGCGCATATCTTCTGCTTGTACCTACATACATAAACTTCACAAGCCAAGAATCATGCAATTCATATACATAAGCGTACACATCAGACAGCCCGTTACGATTTTTAAAGCCTCGAAGAGTAAACTTTACGTAGTCCAAGTACAGCATAGAATTGGTGGATTAGTTGAACTTTCAACAACTCTCTGAATTAGCTAGCAGGTTTGGCATCACTACCCAGTAGCTCCAAGTGGAGCATTTGTATCGGCTTTGCTGACAATTAAATTGCACTTTATAATATTTACATTTCGGGAAAATATATCCTGCTTTTATAATAAGTCGAATAAAAATTACTATCATACTAGAATGTTGACAGTTAAAAAAACACTTCCACATGGTGAAAATTGAAACGACGGTCACGCAGGTCACTAAATCATCCAAGATTCTGTCTATACGTAAACTAATTCAGATAATTAAACCTGAAGTCATTATTCCGTACCGTGCCAAAGATTTTAATCTTTATCTATGTATCTGAGTTAAATGTCTGAAAATATAAAATAAATATGAGGATAGATGGCTGTAAATTTAAAAAACGTTGTGAACCTCGATATCTAACCAATAAATAATTTTAAATTCAGGAAAACGTAGATATCGATAGAACTCAATTGCAGTTACAGTTTCATTAAAACTATCGATTGGCATAAACATATTTACCATACAACAGCTTGGTGTTATCTTAAAAAGCTCGATTATCACGCTAGGTAGCACATGTTCAAATCTTAGAGAAAGATAATCAGTTGCCTTAAGACTGAAGATACCGCTTAATACTGTATCAAAGTCTTAAGCATAGTGACGACTGTCGCTAACCCTTTACTGTTGAAAGATTTTAAAGTGAATAAAAATGAAATTTAAAAAAACAATGATCAAAACTTGTTTCTCCACTCAAGTCTTTTGATGTATGGGTGATATAAGAAAGAAGTATGACATACTTAGTGACTTTTCAATCCTTAATATTTTTATTTCAAAACTACTCAATACAAATTAATTACTGTTAGTAGTATAAAAAATAGTTACATTAAAATAGCATGGAACTTTTTGTTGAATAGTTAAAACCACAAGTGACTGAATAAAAACACATTTATTTATTGTGTTTGTATGTTAAAAAGAACAATTTTTCCAATGGTTTGTTACGAATTATGTATGAGTAAGGTTAAGGAAGTGTTGTTGTAAGAAATATTACTGGCACGAAATCTTTCCGTAGACTAACATAGACTGTTTATTTCTCTTTGGCTACTACTAATTTAAGTAAGGGATACTCCGTCCAAATTAAACACTTTTATACATTCACTTATAAATTTATCTTCTCTCTCAGCATGTGACACATAGGCTAAACGAACAGACTAGGTCACTCTCAGTTTTTTAAACACCATCCAGCACAGGTAAGTAAAGATTGATTAGATATATTAAAAGTTCATTATTACTTTATTTAGTGAGTACTGATTAGATATTTATCATTCAACATCACACACAAAATCCTAGAGAAGCTTTCAATTCGTTCTTACATTTAATCTACTCTGCTAACACTGATTCACTATTCAACGTGGTTTTCACATTGTACACTGTATTATTATCTTTGCTACCCTTGCTTACTGTTACTGCTCTTGCTTTACCGATCCGCGCTTTTACATCTGCATCAGACCCACCACGTTCATCAATGATGCTGCCCAAATATGTAAAGGTTTTCACATCTTGCAAATCTTCTCCGTCAATTGTGACTGGATTGGTGCATGGTGTGTTGTATCGGAAGATTTTGCTTTTCCGTTTTTGCATATTGAGACCTACTGCTGTTGAGGCTGCTGCTACACTGGTCGTCTTCTCCTGCATTTGTTGTTGTGTTTGGGATAGGAGAGCCAGATCATCTGCGAAGTCTAGATCGTCCAGCTGCATCCTAGATGTCTACTGTATCCCGCGTTTCCCTTCAGATGCTGACGTCTTCATGATCCAGTCGATCACCAGGAGAAAGAGAAAGGGTGAGAGTAAGCAACATTGCCTGACACTGGTCATTACCTCGAACGAGTCTGTCAATTGTCCTCCATGCACAATTTTGCAGTTTAATCCATCATAGGAATTCTGTATGATATTGACTATCTTCTGAGGCACGCCGTAGTGTCGAAGAAGCTTCCATAGTGTTGTTCCGTCCACGCTATCAAATGCTTTCTCATAGTCAATGAAGTTGATGTAGAGTGATGAATTCCATTCAAGTGATTGTTCCACAATGATCTGTAGAGTTGCGATTTGGTCTGTACACGATCGATCCTTACGTAATCCTGGCTGCTGGTCTCGAAGTTGGGCGTCTACGGAGTCCTTTATTCTGTTTAACAATACCCTGTTGAGGACTTTTTCCGGTATTGAGAGAAGAGTGATGCCCCTGTAGTTATCACAGTTGCTGAGATCGCCTTTCTTTGGTATTTTGATCAGAAGTCTTTCTTTCCAGTCTGTTGGTACTTGTTCCTCATCCCAAATCTTGCTGAAGAGAATGTGGACTATCTTTGCAGTTGCCGCTACGTCTGCTTTCAGTGCCTCTGCTGGAATGTTGTCCGGTCCTGCTGCCTTGCCACTCTTGATTTGTCTGATGGCCACACTGATTTCTTCAATTGTTGGTGGGCCAACATTGATTGGGAGGTCCGTGGGTGCTGCTTCGATGTTGAGTGGGTTCAGTGGAGCTGGTCGATTCAAGAGTTCTTTAAAGTGTTCTGCCCACCTGTTTCGTTGTTCTTCAACGTTGGTGATTACCTTGCCTTCCTTGCTTTTCACTGGTCGTTCTGGTTTACGGTGATTTCCAGAGAGTTTCTTTGTCGTGTCATACAGTTGTCTCATGTTTCCTTCTCTTGCAGCCTTTTCCGCCGTCGTTGCTAAATCTTCCACATATTTACGTTTGTTGGTTCTGATGCTCCTCTTCACTTGCTTGTTTACTTCCGTGTATTCAGCTTGTGCCTTGGATTTTTCTGCTCTTGTTCGGCTAGTATTGATTGCTGCTTTCTTGTTCCTTCTTTCTTGAATCTTATCTGGTGTATCAACAGTGATCCATTCCTTGTTATGTTGCTTCTTGTGGCTCAGGACCTCATGACATGTTGAAGTGATTGCCT